TTTCAATGTAACTCCTAAGATTTGAATGGAAATTTTGGGTTTTTACTCAAGTTCTGAGACTATGAATTTCTTAACCCATGATTTCTTAAGCATTTCGCAGGGTGTACTGCTGGCCTGCCGCTGTCTGGCCCGCTCGACCCCTCCCGGCTCGGGCGCCGACCTCCGCCGACCTCGCCTGCCGATCCGACCCACCGACTCGATGCCGGAGGAGGAGGAGGAGGAGGAGGAGGAGGAGGAGGAGGAGGAGGAGGAGGAGGAGGAGGGGGAGGAGAAGAGGAGGAGGAGGAGGAGGGGGAGGAGAAGAGGAGGAGGAGGAGGAGGAGGAGAAGGAGGAGGAGGAGGAGGAGGAGGAGGAGGAGGCTCTTCAGGAGCGCTCGGAGGACGCGCGCGTGCACGAGCCCACGCTGGCCTCGAGGGTGCGCGCTGCGCGACCGCTCGTGGCACGCGGGCGGTCTCGCGGCTCGAGGGGCCGTGTGTTCACGTGCACGGTTGGGCGCGTGCGTCCTCCTCGTGGGCTCCCTGTACGTGCTGGGGCGTGCTGCCGATCTTGAAGTCGGCGGCGAGCCTGGTGGGGGGGGAAGGGGAAGGGGCGGGCCTTCTCGCAGGGCTCGGGTGGCCCCGGGCCTTCTGAGGAGCGCTCGAAGCCTTCCCCGAAGACACGAAAGGCTTCTCAGAAGGCCGGGGAGCTTCTCAGAAGCCCCGCCGCCTTCTGAGACGGCTTGCTCCCTCTCACCTCCCCCCCTCGCCCGCCGCCGAGTGGCCACATGGAGGGGCCATCTATACGATAGATGACACCGCCAGGCTCCGCAGTGGCACCACACCTCTTCCTGCCTCCAGATGCATATGTGTGCGCATCCCTCCCCCGCTCAGCCCGGCACGCGCGTGGGGCCGAGAAGCCTCCGCCGCGCCTGCGGGCGTTCTCTGGCGCCGCACCCTGGCACCCGCAGGCCGCCGCGCCCCAAGCGCCGGGGGGAGGGCGCGAGCCGCGCGTCGGCGGTATGCGCTTTTGGCCCTCGGGGGGGGCCCCTCGTCGCCACGGCCGGGCGCAGCTCGGAGAGCTGGCGCGCTTGGACCCCGGGAGGGCCCCAGGTCGCCGAGCGCTCAAGCAGTGGCGAAGCGTCCCGGCTCGCCGATAGCCCCGCCAAACAATGTTCTGAGAACCTTCTGTGGTTCCCACGGAGTGTTCTTAGAACATTTCTGGCCGGGGCTGTCTTGTTTTAACACATCGGGCTGATGTTCTAAGAGCACCGTTTATGTTCTTTGAACATGTTTGGGTTCTAAGAACACTTCGTGGTATGACTATAGGAATGCCGGGACGGTCGGTCCCTGCTCAGACCACACTGCTCGCAAAGTACCTACTCGCAAACGTCAGAAAAAAACATGGTTGCCTCTGTGTGATGGGTCGTTACTCACCCGCGGCGGATCCAGGCCGTTTGCGAGTAGCTACTTTGCGAGTCGTGGAACGCCCTTGTCTACCAGGGACCGAGTTTGAGTTGCCGTGGCCTCAACTCGCAGTGCTCCGAGTTGCGAGGTGCTCCCCCCCGGCGGGGGAGCGGGGCCCGGCGTCTCCGTGGCTGTCCTTTTTCGAGCTGGGTCGATCTCGGTGTCGCTCGGACGTGCGCATTTCTTTCGGCAAGGACAATCGAGGAGTACTTTTGCTCACCTTGCGGAAAAAGCACGCGCGAAACCGGAATGGACGTCCGAGCGATGGCGAGCGATGCGTGAGGGTGTCCAGGAGCAGGGCACCCGTCCACGGGCCAAGGACGCCCGCCGCGGTGTTCGGGGAAGAAGCTGCGCGGAAACATACATGTTCGGAGCTCCGCGCGGATCCCTTGGGCCGCGCTGGGACCCCCCTGGCGCGCAGATCCAAGAAACCCGCACGGACCTCCCAAAAGTTTGTGTACACCTTAGGCGATGCTTAAGAAAACCTAAGTTTTCGGCCAGAGTCTCGATTATTCTTAACGTTTCAATGTAAATCCTAAGATTTTGATAGAAATGTTGGGTTTTTATTCAAGTTCTGAGACCATGAATTTCTTAACCCATGATTTCTTAACCATTTCGCGTGGTGTACACGCAGCTGTTTATCATCCTGGTTGCGTGTGCTGTTTATCTCGCACGTCGCCCAGCTTCAGCCACGCGCAGAGGGGGGTGGGGGGAGGGGGGAGGGCTTCTTGGAAGCACCCCTGGTTCTTAGAAGGCGCGGGCCTGATCTACAGATGCAAGGCCGGCGCCGTCGAAGAAGCAGCCTCCTTCTACGAAGCCCCCCCCTCCACCCCAGCCCCCTTGTGCTAAGTCGGGCGTGTCCCTCTACAGGGGGAATGTTCAAAAATAGTCAGAAAATGGTCTGGGGATTATTTTTTTTGAGTACTTTTTGACCATTTTGGGAGCATGCTTTGGGTATCTGTTATTTTTCGCCGGACTTCCCCCTGTACGGGGACACGCCCGACTTGACCCTCGTGCGCGCCGCCAGCGGGATGCCAGGAGGGAGGCGCTCGGGCGGCGGAGGCCTCGCGGCCCCGGGAGCTGCCAGTGCAGCAAGCCGGCGTGCGGGGGAGCGAGGCCCGGCAGGGCGCCAGGACCGTCCCCGCGGGGCGGCGGAGCCTCGTCCGCCAGAGAAAAGCTGCCCGGCTGGTCGCTCAGCCTCCCTGGGGTTGTGGTGCTCCTACCTGCTTCAGCCTCGAGCTCACCAGAACAAGAAAATCCGGAGCACCAAGACAAGACAGGAACTCGAGGGTTTCCACGTGCCGGGCCCCGGGAGACACTCGTCCGACACTGCTTCGACATTCTTTCGACACTTTTCCGGTTGCTCGAAATTAGTTGCGGGAGGTGGTCCTTAAGCACGATGGGAGCAACATGATCCTGGGGGAGGGGGAAGGAGGGGTTGCGGGAAGCAGGGTGAGTTCTGACAACGGCAGTTGGCCTCCGGGCCCCCCCTCGTCGCCACCGCCGGAGGCAGCTCGGAGCATGTTGTGCGTTTGGGCCCTGGGAGGGCCCAGGTCCAGGGATCGATGTTGAGTTTCCGCCGTTGTCTCAGCTCGCCCTGCTCTGAGTTACGAGAAGGAGGAGGAGAGGCAGAAGGAGACGGAGACGGCGAGTAAGCAAGAAGAGGCGAAGGGCGTGGAGGAGGAGGAGGAGGAGGAGGAGGGCATCATAGAAGATGCGGAAGCGCACGGGCAGGAGCAGCACCCGAATGGTGCCAGCGAGCGGATCCCGATCATTGGATTCACCGACTGGCACCAAACACGGGGCGCCATCAGACACCAACCAGTAGGGCGCACCAGCCACAGCTCTCCACGGGGCCCAAGCTGTCGGCCCCAGGCCACAGGGCACCCTAGATCACCGATCAGCGGTCACCAGCCATGCCTCGGCATCGCTCGGACGTGTAAATTTTTACTTTGGCGAGGACCATCGAGGAGCATCCTTGATCATTTCGCGAAAAGGCCACGCACGAAACCGAAAAACACACAGGGAATGGGCGTCCGAGCGATGCCCAGATGCTGTACGGCGCTGCAGGGCACCAACCACAGAGCACCAGCCAGTAGCTCACAACAGGTCACAAACCAGAGGGCGCAAGCCACGGGGCACCACAGATCACCGGCCGCAGAGGTCACTGACCAGAGGGTGCTGTATAGGGCGCCCGCCGCAGGGCACCCACGCCCGAACATGCCGGCCACGACCGCCAGCTCGGGCCCCAACCACTGGGCACCACAGGGCACCGCCCAGAAGGCACGCACCAACAGTGCGCCGTGAACCAGAAGGCCCCAACACTGCAGCATCGGTCATGGAGTGCCACAGGGCACCGAGCATATATTTTGGCACCAGCCACGTGGCGCCTACAGGTAGGGCACTGGCTTGAGAACGGCCGACCGCCACACATAGGGCGACCGCGGAAGCACACCAGCCACGCAGGGTCACCGGCCCAAGGGCACCGATTCACGAACGGCCGACCGCGGCACACGGGGCACCAACGGTGAGGACGCCAACCACGCGGCATTGGCGGGCGACGGGCCGACCGCAGGGCCAGGGGCCTGCTGCTACTGACGTCACCAGCAGAGTCAAAAACCCTCCTAAGGACGCGCGACTTTGCTCAGGGTACCCTTGCGTCCTTGCTCTTCCTTGCTTTTGCGTCCTTGGGGTTTTCGTCGTCCGCCGCCCCAAAAATCCCAACTTCGGCTTCCAAGGGTCTTGCGTCCTTACCGCGCGTCCTTATTAGGTTTTTGACTGTAGAAACCCCTCAGTGCGAGCTCTGTCTGAGGAGCTCAGGGTTCGCGCCGAAGTGCAGGTGGAGGTAGGCATAGAAGGATCAAGGGGACGACACTGTGGAGGAGGGCGACGGCGCCAACCTTGACGTGAACAAGGGGGAGGACTAGAGAACGGTGATGTGGACGATGACGGCCACGCAGACGACATTGACGACGATGGCAACCAGGAGAGGGAGAAGGTTGAGTTAGAGAGAGGGAAGAAGAGTAGCGATAACAGCAGACATCATAAACAAGATCAGCAGCTGCTGGAGCAGCAGGGGCGCAGGAGCAAGAGTTACAGACGCGCATGAGCCTCTCTGTAAGCACGCGGCCGAAGCCCCCCATCCGCCTGCCGACCCATTTTGGTTCGAGAGCTTGCCAGAGAGATAACCTCACTCTGCCGCCTTGTCACTCATTCACGCCATCCCACGCTATCTGACAGAGAGATTACCTCACTCTGCCTTCATAACCTACACTGTCTCGCACCACTTCAATTATACAGCATACCCATCCAGGGATTCCAGATGGACCCGGAGCAAGTGCCCTCCCAGATTGCGAGGCATCTACGTCACGTCACGGATTGATCGTGAAACGGGCGACCCGCATAGGTGTTACATTATAGGTGTCGCCATGGTGCGGGAAACAGTTGCATTATGCATGCGTCGATGTTGCATTGCGATGCTGCGCGGCCTGCGATCGACGTATCTGCTCCAGGTCCATCTGCAATCCCTGGAAAACGTCAGTGCACAGCTTAGAACGATGACTGCCGACATTGACGCCATGGTTTCCATCGCCCACAGCTTCCTGGGAAGCGATGCGTTCGATTTCGAATGCGAGGAGCTCCACCCCGTAGTGATGCTTGCCATGGCGAGGGAGAAGCTTGCGAGCGACGGGGATAGACCGGACACGCGCAGTGAGAAGGGCCGCGAAACGTACGAGAGTTTCTTGAAGCAGGTGGAGGAGACCGCTGTAGCCCTGAATCTTGACAGCTACCCCAGAGAGTACCGCGGCAAGTTCACCTCAGACCTCCGGGCCATGTTCTCGGGATCCGAGCGCAGCTACCGCGTGGACATCTTGGAGGCGGCGCTGACGTTCACGCCAACGCTGATGGTCAACGGGCTTGTCTATCAGCTCAGCGAGACGGTCATGGATCATGCCAAGGTCTGGAGAGGAGGAGAACGAGGAGGAGGAGGAGGAGGAGGTTCCAAGAGGGTTTTCTGCCCAGAGTGGAAGATGTAGGATGGACTTCGGGAGGAGTCGGTGGACCGATTCCAAGCGGATGTTGATAGGGATAAGGAGGACCAGTAGCAGGAGTAGGGGGAAGCGGATAAGGAGGACCAGGGGTTTCAGAAGGGCGAGGAGGAGAAGAAAGTGAGAGGAGCAGGATGTAGATGAGGAGGAGCAAGGCGACGAGGAGGAGGAGGAGGCAGGAAGAGAAGCGAGGAGGAGGAGGTGGAGGAGGAGGAGGAGGAGGAGGAGGGGGCGAGCAGGATGGAGAAAAGCAGGGGAAGGAGAAGGACGAGGGATAGCAGGGGTAGGGAGAGGATGTAGAGGACGACGAAGAAGAGGAGGAGGCGGATTTGGGAGGATCCTCTGCAATGCCAGCCATTTTGGGCTCCTGTAGCGGATCTGGCAGTTGGCACTACGGCCTGCCAGTGTGGCGCGCTGCGCCCGTCCTCCAAGTCACTGGCCCGACAGTGCAGTATGCGGCGTCGCGGGCGAGGGTGCGGAAGGCGCCAGACCAGGCGGTGCCGCCCAGGGGCGTTTGCGGTTACGCTTTGTGTCCGGATCTGCCCGTAAGAACAGTGTGCGCCGTCGTCGCCGCGTCAAGGCCTCGCGCCCATTTCGATGCGTATACTTAGGCAGGGGGTGGCGCAGTCTCGGCGCGTGATGCCATGACGGCGCTCACTGCGCTGGGAGGCCCTCTCGGCTCGGATGCTCTCCCTTGGAGGTCTGCGCGAAGATCTGGGCAGACAGTAGGTAGTGTGCAGCAGGCAGCGACAACGTAGTAGGAAGCAGTGGGCCATGAGTAGCGAGCACGGGGAATAGAGCTGCTTGCAGTGGACACTGAGTGCATGATGCTAGGTCGTGAGCAATGCGAAGCCGCCCTGGTCTGCCCACCACTCCCAACTCCTTCAAGACTCGCTACTCCCCACCCCCTGCCCCCGATTCGCGACCTGGTGTATTTACTTGCACACAGGTACATCGATGAAAGAGATCGGGAGCATGTTTTAAAATGATTGTGCGAGATTTTTTGTTGGGGGGGAGAATCCAGAGATGCAGCTCCGAGATACCAATTCCCGCGTACTGGATCTCGAAGTCGTGCTTCGCGTGCGCCCTCTTCACGCTGCCGCACGTGGCGCTCTCTCGCCCACGCGCCCGCACCAGCGCACGATGCACCGGCCCACGCGCGCTCTCGCACCGTGCCGCGCCACGCTCTTACATGTTCGAAGCTCCGCCGCTGCTCGCCAGCACAGTGCCGTTTTTTATACATGCCCCGCGTGCTGATCATGCATCAAAAATGCAGGGATTGAGTATTAACAACAACGATGAGTTCGTGCATAAATGCATTCATGAATTAATCATGTATTAAAATCCTTATAGGTTTAAAGATCATATGTATTCAGCATTGCCCAGTAGGCTCTCTCCCCCCGTCGTTGCTCTCCGCCGCCCCCACGGCGCCAGGCCCCGCGCGAGGCCCCGCGCCCCCCTCGCGCCACCCACTGCTCACCTCCACCCCGCACTCTACAAGGATGGCGCAGGATCGATGCTTCAACAAAAAATTGGGAACACACAGCGTCCGACTAGAAAGCACAACGTTTTCGTTGATGTTTCAATAAAAAACTGGCAACACAGCAGTTTCGTTCTTTGTTTAATAGAAAGTACATGGTTTTATTTGAAAGCACAGCGTTGTAATTGATTCTCTAATTCGAAAATTATGGCACGGCGTGAATAGACAATCCGCATCTCCACCACAGGCCATCTTCACCCACCGCGGGGACGAATGACCGGGAGGATCAGGAGGAGGAGGAGGAGGAGGAGGAGGAGGAGGAGCAGGAGTGGAGGATCAGGAGGAGGAGGAGGAGGATCAGGAGGTTTCCCGAGGCTGCCCGGCCCACTTCCGTGTTCTCCCGAAGTCCTTTTGCGGTTTCCACAAACCTTGCGAGGAGAACAGGTAGACGCAACCAGAAGCACGCGCAACATAGAGTCCGTCGCGTCGACTCAGAGTCGCCATCGGGACACCGTCATGAAGACCAATGTGTGTGTGTGTGTGTTGTTGTGGTATTCCGTGATGTGATTCTGTGAGGGCTGCCTTAGGGAGGGAAGCAGAAGGAGGAGGAGGAATGGAGGAGGAAAACGAGGACGAGGCGGAGGTGGAGGAGGAGGAGGAGGAGGAGTGCGGGGAGGATGGAGGGGATGAGGGAGGGGGAGGAGGAATTATCCTGGCGAAGGACCCAACCATATGCAAACGTGAATACCGCAGGGCAGGTGGGACGAAGCAAAAGGAATTCCCAATGTGGCCACGAACCGTGTGAGGGGTGCGCCACACTGGGGCGGGGCCGCCATGCGAACCCTGCCACTGAGGCCTTCGGTGGAGCTCCCTATGTCCCTGCGGGGCCACGAACCGTGTGAGGGGTGCGCGAAAATGAGGCGGGGCCGCCATGCGAACCCTGCCACTGGGGCCTTCGGTGGAGCTCACTATGGTGCCACGAACCGTGTGAGGGGTGCGCCACAACGAGGCGGGGCCGCCATGCGAACCCTGCCTCTGGGGCCTTCGGTGGAGCTCCCTATGGGGCCACGAACCGTGTGAGGGGTGCGCCAAAATGAGGCGGGGCCGCCATGCGAACCCTGCCACTGGGGCCTTCGGTGGAGCTCCCTATGGGGCCACGAACCGTGTGAGGGGTGCGCGAAAATGGGGCGGGGCCGCCATGCGAACCCTGCCACTGAAGCCTTTAGTGGAGCTCCCTATGGGGCCACGAACCGTGTGAGGGGTGCGCCAAAATGGGGCGGGGCCGCCATGCGAACCCTGCCACTGGGGCCTTCGGTGGAGCTCCCTATCCGGGGCCATGGCGGCAACCGAACCGCGCCAGGGGTGCGCCAATGAGGCGGGGCCGCCATGCGAACCCTGCCCCTGCCCTGGGCCTTCGGTGGAGCTCCCTATGGGGCCACGAACCGTGTGAGGGGTGCGCCAAAATGGGCGGGGCCGCCATGCGAACCCTGCCACTGGGGCCTTCGGTGGAGCTCCCTATGGGGCCACGAACCGTGTGAGGGGTGCGCCAAAATGAGGCGGGGCCGCCATGCGAACCCTGCCCCTGGGGCCTTCGGTGGACTCCCTATGGGGCCACGAGCCGTGTGAGGGTGCGCCAAAATGGGGCGGGGCCGCCATGCGAACCCTGCCACTGGGGCCTTCGGTGGAGCTCCCTATGGGGTCACGAACCGTGTGAGGGGTGCGCCAATATGGGGCGGGGCCGCCATGCGACCCTGACCCTGCCACTGGGGCCTTCGGTGGAGCTCCCTATGGGGCCACGAACAGTGTGAGGGGTGCGCCAAAATGGGGCGGGGCCGCCATGCGAACCCTGCCACTGGGGCCTTCGGTGGAGCTCCCTACGGGGCCACGAACCGTGTGAGGGGTGTGCCGAAATAGAGGCATGCGGAGGGTGATGGTGATGATGACGACCATGTTGGTGCTGATGATGATGACGATGACGATGACGATGATGATGGCGATGACGACGATGATGATGATGATGAGAGGGGGAGGGAGGAGGGAGGAGGGGGATGAGGGGGGGAGGAGGAGAGGAGTGAGGACGCGGGCGCTGTCTCTTCAAAACGAGGACCCAACACCACAGGATGGTTGGGAAAAAACCGGAGGGGTGACGAAACAATCTGAGGCCCCTTATCTTCAGGAGCCTCAAACGAAGTACGTGATGACACACTTTGATCACCGATCGATCACCGATCACCGAGAGGAGCCTCGCAGACGGAGGCGGGAGGCGAAGGGGGGGGGGGCAGGGAAACAGGCGGCAGGGATCGGCAAAGCAGGGGGAAGAGGAGCGAGCTAGGAGAAGGGCTGTTGCATGCCCCCTCCCCTCCGCCGATTCCTGCTGCTGTTTCTCCTGCCCGTCCCTCCTCCCCCCCCTCCTCTCTCCTGCCCCCCCCTCACACTTCTTCTCATTCTCTTGCCCTCCCACTCCTCCCACCCCTTCTCCTCCCCATCATGCTCCTCTTCGTATTCTTCCTCCTCCTCCTTCCTTCTCCTCCTCCTTCCTTATCCTCCTCCTCCTCCTCCTCCTCCTCCTCCTCCTCCTCCTCCTCCTCCTCCTCCCCCGCTAGATGCTGGCCTTCCTCCCCGCACCGCGTCCATTTCCCCCCCCCCCCAATCCCCCGACGATCTCGCGGAAACGGAGGCTCCTGGAGCTCTCCGAGGCCCCTCTCGAAATTGGCCCGTGTGATCTCCGCGAAACCCACGCGGACCTTGAGAATTGGCGTCGTGACCCGAACGTAAGCCTTGCGCCAGACGGCGCGCGAGAAGGGAGAAGCAGGAGATACTTAGCGCCGAAAAGCAGCATTTTTTCAGCGGGGTCCATTTCCTGACCGCGAACTCCCATCTTCCATGGAGCCGCTGCTCTGCAGTCGCGACAGAGGAATGCAGACAAGGCCTCTTGGGAACCAGCCACGGGCAGACAATTGCGCATGACCATGATGCCCCAGATTGTCTTGGCGCCCTATCTTGCGTGGCCCTGATGGGGATCGGAGAGCAAATCCGGTCGGCTCGAAAACCGAGCGTCGTACAGGACTTGAGTCCAGATTTCTTGCGAGCTGCCCCATGAGGAGCACCTGCCGCTTCATGCGATTATCGCTCAACGGCGTCTGTCTGGCCATGGCGAAAACAGCTGCGTTGGAGACTCGGTTGGCGTAAGACGGAGGCGCCCGGCAGGTTGTTCGCAGGCAGCGGGCGTGGGATCCTTCGAGTCGCCTGCTTTCACATTCGTTTCGACAGCCAGCGAATAGGCTGCACATTAAGTTTGACACGATGCACGTGTTAAGCATTCTCAGCTTGCGTGCCCGGCTAAGTGTGGAGTGTTCCCCTCTAGCGTTCACGAATTGTCTGCTCAGACCCAATACTGCCGTCCTCAGGCAGACGGGTGCCCGAGTATGCGATGGAGCTGTTGCGTGCATGCCACTGGGGCTCCGGAGGCGTTCAGAATGTCGGCGCCAGACCTTACCCTCAATAGTTCGACTTGTTTTGCCAATTGAACTCGGGACTGTAGTACATCCCGCAGGTCTCGACGGCATATGAACGCCTGCACATTACGAGGGTCGCTGTCAATCAACAGGGCGGCATCTGCGAGAGAAGCTCTCTCACGAAAGTCTTCCCCTGGCAGCTCGCCCATGCTTGTCTGCAACGTGCTGGGTACGCATCCGTGAGGAGGGTGGTCATCACTTTCGTGAAGAGGAATAGGAGAGCAGGCACCCTTGACACATACCATAAGTTTAGGAGTGCTCGACAGGCGTTTGTCAAACTCGCTCACGACGAGCGTGCGGTCTCCTGGTAGGCGCGGAGGCCACGACGCACGAGGTGCCAGGCAGTCCAGATCTTCTCGGAGGGGCCGCCAGCGCCGTCGGCGAGACCGAATCGGACGCTTTGGCCCACTCTGATGCGAGCTGGGACACACAAACAAATAGACCCAAATCCCAGGATTACCCATATTTTTTAGTATGTGCTGGATTCTCATGTTCCCCCCATTCCCCGTACTTTCCAATTTTTTCGGGGGATCGACGATTCAGTGTGTCTGTGTGTGTTTTTCCCCTGCTGATCAAAAACAGGGCCTCTCCGTCTTTGGTTGCCCACGCGTCTTCTATCACCCGTCTTGCAAAGAAGCTGGCGTCGGCCGTCCCTCTGCCGGAGCGGCAGGCGAGCCGCGTCGTCCAGATCCTGGGTTCGACGCCAGCGTCCTCCAGACGGCCCATCAACGTCGCAGCAACCGTTTTCGTTCGATAGGCGATGGGAAGTAAACATCTGGGTCTGTAGTTGTCGCAGGACGCCAGATCGCGTTTCTTGTAGAGCATGCGTCGTGGCCCGCCAAAGCCGAGGAGAGTGTCGAGCAGGAGGCGGCTCGAGGGTCTCTGGAGGTCCCCGAGGGCCTTGGCAAGAGTGGAGGCCCCGGATGCCTCTCCCAGGCCGCAGGAAGATCTCGGGAGCCCGAAGCACACACAAAAAGAAGCCGCCCAGGATTATGATCGGCTCTCGATCTTCGATCCTCGATCGATCCTCGCTCCTACAGGCAGGTCGAGATCGGTCTTCGATGCGAGACTCGACCCCCGATGCCTGCGCCAGCCCCGCCCGCAGAAGGCGCTGCAGGAGATGTGGCTCGACCTGTGCCAGCTCCTCGACCTGTGGGCGTCCCCGGGCCACGCCCTGGGGCAGGCGCATAACCGTCTGCGACCCGCTTCGCTGCGCTTCGATTCGCCCGCCGGCGCCGCGGCTCCGATTCGATGCGGTCCGGCTCCTCCTCCTCCCTCCTCCCTCCTCCTCCTCCTCCTCCCCTCCTCTCTCCTCCTCCTTCTCCTCCTCCTCCTCCTCCTCCTCCTCCTCCTCCTCCTCCTCCTCCCCCCTCCTCCGCTCCTCCCCTCCTCCACTCCTCCCTCCCTCCCTCCTCCCGCCTCCCTCCTCCTCGCTCCTCTCCTCCTCCTCCTCCCTCCTCCTCCTCCTCCTCCTCCTCCTCCTCCTCCTCCTCCTCCTCCTCCTATGCACCGGCAGCGGCCAGGGCCAGCCGGACGCACTGGCGCGGCGAACCGATGCCGATCCGATGCGGGACGATCCGTTGGCGATCCGATCCGCTTTCGCGAGCCGGTCCAGCGCAGACCTGGCAGGCCCGCGCGGAGCTCTGCGCGCGCCTGCTGCGCCTCGACGTGGCGTGGGCCGAGTTCGAGGACCCTCCCCGGGCGGAGAGGCGGCGAGGTCGGCCTGGCGGGCATGGCACGGCCCGCCGACCTCAGAAGGGGTGTCTTGCGACAGCGCGGGCAGTCAGCTGCAGCACGCAGGCGGTGCCCCTTCCCTCCTTCCTCGCTCTTCGCTGTCGTCGTCCTGCTCCTCCGTGGCAGCGTCCTGAGAGACCATGTGCAGGCGTTGATGTGCGCGTTCGCTTCTCGGGCACTGGAGCCAGCGCACTTCCTGCGCGCTCTGGCGCCGCCGCGCCGAGCTCTCTCTGGGGGCCGTGCTCGGGGACGGCCTCCGGCGTCCTGTCCTGTCCGGCCCGGGCAGGCAGGCAAGAGAGCCGTGCACCCTGAGGGGCTCCTCCTCCTCCTCCTCATCCTCCTCCTCCTCCTCCTCCTCCTCCTCCTCCCCGAAGGTCCCCCAGTTGCGCCGCATCCCTGGTGGTCCAGGGCCGCTGCCCCCGCCGCGCTGGCCCACAGGCCCTCCAGGGTGGCGGCGCTCGCGGCGGGGCGGCCAAAGCCCCGAGGGGCCTCCCTACACTTTGACAATCCGGTGGACAGTCCCCCCCTCTCCCACACGAGGCCTTCCAAACAGGGCCCGGCTTTCGAGGATCGAAGGAGCCGTCATCGCTTCCCCGGCGGAAGGGCGGCGGAAGTAAAACGAGGGCGCCTTCGCCGGCGGAAGCCGGCGGAAGCTCGGCGGAGGGCCGTGGCAGGCAAGGATGCGCCCCCAACAGGCGGCAACGTTGTTTGGGCTCAGGGTTTCCGGAGTCGGCCACGCACTGCGCCGACGAAGAACTGTCGTGGCCCATGCCGAGGAGCCGCGGCCATTCGTGGCACCCCACCGCCGTGCTCTCTTGCGACGACGTGGCGCCCTGGGAGCTCTCGACGCCAGCGCCCCAGCTCTGGCCCTGTCGTAGTGCGGGCTGCCTCTCCTGGCGGTCCAATGGGGCCCTGTCCTGGCCCCTGCGGAGCCCCCCCCCCTGAGAAGCTAGGGGCGCCGCGGTCGTGCCGCGATGCTATGGGAGTCTGGGTCCGCCTGGCCGTCCTCCCTCTCCCAGGATCGGCTCTTGGGCCCCCCCTCGAAGAAGAAAAGCCACTATGAGCATAAACTTTCGGCGCTGGGTTCCTTGGATCCACGCCTGGGGCCCTCCCGGCGGCGCCTCTGGCGCCGCCCCTGGCGCCCTCCGCGCGCCCGGCGCAGATTCAAGAGGGCCGCGCGGAGTAGGAGGAAGGCACTTGTCTAGCGTGCTTAAACTCCCTCCGGCCTGCGAGCCGCAGCCCGTGACCCAGACCGAAAGGGAACGAACAAAAACCGCAGCTGGCCGCGCCTGGTCGCCGACAGTTGGTGCTTACGCCGTTCTGTTATGCTTCTATCTTGGGCCTCTCCGAGGCAGCACCTCTGGCACGAGCTCTCTTGAGGGCCCCTGGCCGCGAGTGCGCCCCCTCTCCCGAGGCCAGACACACTGCGCCGAGAGGCGCGGATCTCCTCCCCCCTCCTCCGCCCTTTTGGCGTCGCTCGGGCGTGTGTGTGTGTGTGTGTGTGTAAGTGTGTGTAAGGGTGTGTAAGTGTGTGTAAGTGTGTGTAAGTGTGTGTAAGTGTGTGCAAGTGTGCGTAAGTGTGCGTAAGTGTGTGTAAGTGTGTGTAAGTGTGTGTAAGTGTGTGTAAGTGTGTGTAAGTGTGTGTAAGTGTGTGTAAGTGTGTGTAGGTGTGTGTGTAAGTGTGTGTGTGTGTGTAAGTGTGTGTGTAAGTGTGTGTAAGTGTGTGTAAGTGTGTGTAAGTGTGTGTAAGTGTGTGTAAGTGTGTGTAAATGTGTGTAAATGTGTGTAAGTGTGTGTAAGTGTGTGTAAGTGTGTGTAAGTGTGTGTAAGTGTGTGTAAGTGTGTGTAAGTGTGTGCAAGTGTGTGTAAGTGTGTGTGCGTGTGTGTGTGTGCGTGTGTGTGTGCGTGTGTGTGCGTGTGTGTGTGTGTGTGCGTGTGTGCGCGTGTGTGTGTGTGTGTGTGCGTGTGTGCGTGTGTGCGTGTGTGCGTGTGTGCGTGTGTGCCTGTGTGCGTGTGTGCGTGTGTGCGTGTGTGCGCGTGTGTGTGTATCCTCGGCAAGGACCATCGAGGAGCATGTTTGCTCACACTGCGGCTGAGCTGTGTGACCAATTCGCGGAGTACACACACACACACACTAAACCAAGCAAAAAACACGGGGAATGGACGTCCATGCGATGGCGAGTCCTCCCAGCGCTCCCGTCCGGTGGCGAGCACCGAGGGGGGGCAGGGACTGGGGGGCGTGAGGGCGGCGTGAGGGGGGCGGGGGAGGATGAGCAGGAGGAGGAGGAGGAGGGAAGGGAATGGGGGGGCGTGAGGGGAAGGGAATGGGATGGGAGTGTGAGAAGGCCAGGGCCTCTCCAATGCATGCGCCCGCAGGAGCGGCCCGTATGCTTCGAGGGAGGCCCTGCGGGCGCCCCAGAGGGCCCCCGAGGAGCTGCCCGCCCTCTTGCAAGCCCCCCCCCCCCGTCCCCTCCTCCTCCTCCTCCTCCTCCTCCTCCTCCTCCTCCTCCTCCTCCTCCTCCATCCCTCCTCCCCCTCTCCACTCCACCTCCTCCCCCTCTTCCTCCTCCTCCCTCTCCTCCTCCTCCTCCTCCCTCCTCCTCCTTCTCCTCCTCCTCCTCCTCTCCTCCTCCTCTCCTCTCTCCTCCTCTCCTCCCCTCCCCCTCCCTCCTCCTCCTCCTCCTCCTCCTTCTCCTCCTCCTCCTCTCCTCCTCCTCCTCCTCCTCCTCCTTCCTCCTCCTCCTCTCCTCCTCCCCTCCTCCTCCTCCTCCTCCTCCTCCTCCTCCTCCTCCTCCTCCCCCTCCTCCAGTTCTCCTCCTCCACCTCCTCCTCCTCCTCCTCCTCCTCCTCCTCCACCTCCTCGATCTCCTCCTCCTCCCCCTCCTCCTGTTCCTCCTGTTCCTCCTCCCCCTCCTCCTGTTCCTCCTCATCCAGAAGGCCGCCCCCTCTCCTCGCGCTGTAGCCCTGCGCGAGCGCCTCCAAAGCCAGTGCCGGCCGTGGGCCACGCTGGAGGGGAAAGGGGGGGAGGGCCGCCCGTCGCCGGCCGCCGCAGGAGCGCCGCCTGAGGTCTGACGAGGAGATCAATCGATGCGCCCCAGATCGGGACGACCGACATGGGTACGGAGAGAATGGGTACAATGCCCAACAGCAGTTCCTGTCCATTTTGAGCAGGGCTCGCTGTCCGCGCCGCCGCGGCCTGCCCAACAGCGGCCACCGTGGGGTTGGGACAGAATTTGTAGTTGAGCATTGTACCCATTTTTTTCGTACCCATTTCGGGCGTCCAAACCAAAGTTGATTTCCTCGTCCATCGAGGGAGAACAACGAAAAAACTATGAGCATAAACTTTTGGCGCTGCGCGCGGATTTCTGGGGTTCGCGCCTGGGTCCCCCCAGCGGCGCCTCCAGCGCCGCCCCTGGCGCGCTCCGCGCGCCAGGGAGGGGGGTCCAGCGCAGCTCCGAGAAATCCGCGCGGAGATCCAAGAGTACATATGTTTACGGTGTGTGTGTGTGTGTCTTCCTCGAGCCGTGGAAACTGAGCACAGACACAGAGTACGATCGCAGCTGTGCGAGCATGCTGCGCATGTTTCGCAGACTCGGCACACCACGCAAGTCTGGGGCGAGTCGGTTCTGTCGCCGCTCCCCCGCTCGAGAGGTCCGCCGAGCGCAGGTGCGCCGGCGCCGCCAACTCGGAGGCGAGCCCCGCCGCGCCCCCCCGCCGGCTGCGGCTGCCCGAGCCGTCCTCCTCTCGCGGGCGAGGGGCGGTGTGCGGGGAGCGCCTCCGCCCTGCGGATCCTCCTCCTCCTCCTCCTCATCCTCCTCCTCGTCGGCCTCCTCCTCCTCCTCCTCCTCCTCCTCCTCCTCCTCCTCCTCCTCCTCCTCGTCGGCCTCCTCATCCTCCTCCTCCTCCTCCTCCTCCTCCTCCTCCTCCTCCTCCTCCTCCTCCTCCTCTTCTCCTCCTCCTCCTCCTCCTCCTCCTCCTCCTCCTCCTCCTCCTCCCAGGGCGGCTGGGGAGCCGATGCCCCTCGCGTGGCAGGTGGGGGCCATCAGCTGTCCAGCCGCCCGGGGAGGGGCGCCTCGGATCGCGGCGCCCACCGTGGAGGCCCGTGTGCTTGCCTCCAGCTTCCTCCTCCCTCCTCCTCCTCCTCCTCCTCCTCCTCCTCCCTCCTCCCCTCCTCCTCCTCCTCCTCCTCCTCCTCCTCCTCCTCCTCCTCCCCCTCCGCCCTGGGTTTCTTGGGCTTCGGTGGTCTCGCCACAGGAAGCGCGGCGCTGCCACACCAAGGATCCATGGGCGCCCTGGAGTCTCAGGGTTGGGCTTCTTGTGGAAGGTTGCTTGTGGACTGGCCTCCACCGTGTTGCTCTGATGCCGTTCTCTTCCCGCCAAGTCTTCTCGACGACACGTGCGTGTATGGATATAGTCAGGGGCTGCCTGACCTCTGGAGGAACAGAAACGAGTGAGGCAAGTCGACGCCCGTAGCAGCCAAGCGCTGCCAAAGAGAAGCTTGCACTCGGAGCACGAAGCCGCAGAGGAAAGCAGAAGCACCCCTCGGAAGATGTACTGCCTCAAGAACGCGCGTAATGTTCTCTGTGCCGGGGTGGACCTCTGGTGCAGGCACACAGGGACCCCCCCACACCCCGCCCAGCACTGGGAGCACCCGGCTTGCGCGCGTGGGTTCGCGCCCGGGGCCTGCGGCCCCCGAAAGTCGCGCACCAGAGGTCGCTCGTGCCTGGGGCCAGTCACTCTTGCGAGTACAGCAGGGGCCCATGCCAAGAAACACCCTGCATGCCTCCAGGGTGCCCTGTATTTCTTCGGGGTTCGATGGTTTTGCAATGGAAAGCGCGACGTTCCCACACCAAACATCAATGGACGTCCTGGGGTCTCAGGGTCGGGATTCTTGTACAAGGTTTCTTGTGGACTAGCCTCCACTGTAGTTGGGTCTGCGCTGTTCCCTCTGCTGCCGCCCTCGCCGCCTGAGGCCTAAATTGTCGTCATGTTTGTCGTTGCCGCCGTCGTCTTTTCGGGCCGGGCGAAAGGGGGGGATTGGGAAAGGGGGGGTTACGACATTTGCTGCATGCAGCTGGTTTCGGCCTCACCGAGGGGCCCATTCCTCGATACATGGCCGCCTCCGGCGCCGGGAGGCGCCGGGAAAATCAGCTACGTGAGCTGATTCTCAAACCCCCCCTTTGCTATCCCCCCCTTTCGCCCGACGCGATCTTTCTTCGTCTTTGTCGTCGTCTGCTCCCCGTCTGCTCGTCGAGGAGGGCGACGGCGAGGTTCACGCCGACGTCGAAATGCACGAAACGCACATTTTCCGGAGTTGTGGGGGGCCTCCGAGGCGGCCCTCGTCGTCAAGGCTGGATCTGCCGGCAGGGCCCGCGGCGGCTTTGCAACCGCTGGCGGAGCGCGCCCTGAGGTGTCGATGAGGAGGGGGGAGGGGGATGGAGAAGGAGGGGGAAGGAGGAGGACGAGGAGGGACGAGGAGGGAGGAGGAGGGAGCAGGGAGGGAGGAGGAGAGGACGAGGAGGGACGAGGAGGGAGTAGAAGGGAGGAGGAGGAGGGAGAAGGAGGAGGACGAGGAGGGACGAGGAGGGAGGAGGAGGGAGCAGGGAGGGAGGAGGAGGGAGGAGGGAGGGAGGAGGGAGGAGATCGGCGTCCGAGGTTGCATTCCTCTCATCCCAGGGGCCGCGGCGCGTGCGCGCGCAGCGGCGGGCGTCAGGCTTCCCGGGGCGCCCCCGCTGCAGTGCCGCGCTCCCGGGGCGCTCCCAGACGCCCTCGAGCCGTGAACAAAAATCCGAGCGGGAGGTGGTCCGCTCTGTTCGGCCTCTGGGGGCCCTGCCCGGGCGGCGGGGCCGTTCAGCAACGGCCTGGGACGGGAAACCGGGTCGAGACCTTGTTTGCAAGGAGTGGAAAACACTTTTTGGCCTGCGGGTCGGGAGCGGGCCCCTTCCGGTCAAGAGCTAAACGGGACGCGCGTAGCCCTAATTGGGGAGACAGGGCGCGGGCGGGCAGGGCCTCAGGCGGCCGGAGGGCTCAGAGTACAGGCGGTGCCGAAGAATTTGCACAGGACAAGGTACGCCATGGACTGGAAGGAGTGGAAAACACACACAGACACAATGGATCGTCGACTCCCAGGACAAGATGGGAAAAGATGGGCAGGTGCCGGGACGACGAAAAACCAGAAAAAAATGAAAATTGGGGTGGGGTCCTGGGATGTGTATCTATTGATCATCATACCTCACGGTGTGATCTCGCATCGCATTCTTTCGACCGACCGTGTCTGGAATGTGCTGGACGTGCCCTGGGATGTGCGAAGAGATGTGTCATGGACGGTGAACGCCGGGGTGTGTCCTGTCTCTGTCTGCTGGAAAGAATGCCTGGAATGTGCTGGACTGGAACGCGTGCCTGGAATATGCTAGACGTGCCCTGGGACGAGCGAAGACATGTGTCCTTGAGTGTGAACGTCGGGGTGTGTCCTGTCTCCGTCTGCTGGACTGCGTGCTTGGATGTCTGCTGTCTGCGCGGTGCTCCGACGTCTCCGTCTGCTGGACTGGAACGCGTGCCTGGAATGTGCTAGGCGTGCTCTGGGATGTGCGAAGACATGTGCCCTGGAATGTGAACGCCAGGGTGTGTCCTCTCTCCGTCTGCTGGCCTGCGTGCTGGGATGTCTGCTGTCTGCGCGCTGCTCCGACCATCTGTGTTGGCACGCGTGTCGATGTGTCAAAGGCTGTCCTCGTCCCGTGGCCTGTTTGCCCTCCCCCCCCGACCCCCCCCCTTCTTCCGACGCCCGCAGAGGCCGCCGTGGAGGAGTGCCGCCGAGAGGAGGCGGCGCTGCTGAATCACCTGGCGCACCTGAGCGCGATCGCGGGCAGCAGGGCGAGGGGAAAGCTTCTGGGCTTCAGTCGGGCGTGTCCCTCCACAGGAGGAAGTTTCGAAAAAAGAGTGCAGAAAAATTCTGGGGAGGATGTTTCTGGTAGTGTTTGACTTGCTCTGCGCATGTTGCTGGGCGCTCTTGATTTGTCATCCAGAACCCGCCACGCGCAGAGGAGGGTAGGGGGAGGAGGGAAGGCTTCTTTGAAGCGCCCCTGTTTCTCAGAAGGCGCGGGCCTTGTCTGTAGATGTAGGGCCGGCGCCTTCTAAGAAGCGGCCTCCTTCTGAGAGGCCTTCCCGCCTCCCCCTACCCCCTTTGCGCGCCGCCAGTTCCAGGCCTCCCAGATGGGGTCGGAGGATCGCGCCGCATCGCCGATGCGTCGGCGGGGCGGCTGGATGTGGAGCCCGCTCCCTCCACGCTGACGTCGCCGACGCATCGCTGACGTCGCCCAAGCATGGCCGCTGCGGGGCGATCGCCCGACTCCGTCTACTCCGAGCCCCCAATTAGGAGGCCTCGAAAGCTCTAGGGCGCCGACAGTCGAAGAAGAAGAAGAAGAAACGGCATACGCTTGAGCCCTCGGCGCTCCGCGCGGAGTTCTAAGATCCGCGCGGGGCCCCCGCTGGCGGCGCCTCGGGCGCCGCTTCCGATCCACGACATCCGCGCGTACCTCCGAGCATTTATGTCTATGCCATGTTGGTTCCTCTAGACAGAAAAGGGTGCTGGCCCAGGGGCGGATGCACACACACACACACACACACAACCGACCGCCCCTTCCTCGACGATCGGCGTTTCGGCGCCCAGCGCTGCCCAGGATGGGGCGGTTCTGCTGTCGGGGGCGCATCGCCGATGCACCGCGGATTCCAAGCGAATGCCCCCATGAGCAGATTCCCCCCTCTCGGCCCACCACCAGGCACCCTCACGCCCCCTCTGGGCCACATCTCGGTGTCTGTGCAAGCGTCTGCGTGGGGATCGCCCGAGGCCCTTCGCCCTTGCCACGTGCGCTCGAAAAGTATGTCTGTCAGGAGGGAAAAACACACAGACACAAGTAATCTTCGATTCCCCTGAAAATATTGGAAAGTATGGGAAGTGGGGGGGAAGACAAAAACCCAGAAAATATGGGAAAATATGGGGAATCGTTTTATTTGTGTGTATTTATTTGTGTGTCCTGGGGGCCCTTCAGTTTGTGCCTGTTCGTTTGCGTGTAATCCTGGCCTGGTCGGGGCCCGGTACACACCAGAGACTGGGCCCAGAGGGTCGGCCTTGAGAGGCTTGGCGGTGGCGCCCTGTGTCTTTCAGCGGACGGAGATCAGTACAAGATAAGCTGGTTCGCCGTCGGGAACGCCTGTCCCAGGGCGGCTGGGTAGTTTGTGCCCTTGCGGTGGCACGTCGGGGTGTGAGCGTCCCAGCCTTCCTAGGACGCGCGCCCCCGACGGCGGAAACGCTCGCCTGACACCGCTCTTCGTCTGCCAACCGCTCCCTACCCCTAGGCACCCCCAGGTCCTCCACCCAGGTCCCGGAGTTCGCGCTGCAGATCCTGGACGAGGCAGGGCAGCTGCTCTCGCTCCCTGGGACGTGCTGCGGCACGAACCTGCCCGACCCCACCGTGGTGCTGGCCGCACGGGCGATGGAGTCCTACAGGGGCCTGCGCGAGTACCTGGTCCGCGTGCGCAAGCACCTGGACAAGGTGCGCCCCCAGCTCGGCAGGAACGTGGGGCTCGTCGAGAGGCTAGCGCGGTGGGAGGAGAGCTGGGACCGCCTCGCCTTCTACACGGGGAAGCCGGACCTCATGGAGGGGGCCCGCCTGCTCGTCGGCTTCCTGGCGGGGTCGCTCGAGGCCGCACCCTCGATGCAGCAGATGCTCGATCACCGCGCCCCGGAGCTGTTTCTGGTGCTGCCAAGGCCGAGGGGCGTGCCAAGAGAGGGGGTGCGATGCCCCATGTGTTTGTTCGCGGCACGGGCGTGGGAAGAGGAGGGGACGGAGAACCCAATAAGACATGCTTGCAAGCGCCGACTGGATATGTGAGCTCTGTGGTTTGTGCCCTCTTTGCTTTCCCTCTCTGCGGCCGCATCTGTTCCTCATTCCGCGTCGCCACAATCAGCGTTAGCGTCCGTGGCCCAGGAGCTGTTTCGACCGCAGTGCGACCGTTCCCACCGCCGCAGGCCAACAAATATGAGCTAGGTTGTGCAAACAACGTGCTGCAATACATGTGGTGCAAGCTATGTGGTGCAAGCTATATGGTGCTAGCTATGTGTCGCGAGCACGCGGTTGCGGCATCGATCTTTAGCGGCCGCACGTGGGCGAAGCCGCAGGCCCTCCCAACAACCCGGCGAAGAGCAGTGGCACGGGCATCTCCCGCACCCGCCACGCTTTCGAATCCATGCCGCATTTCTCTATATCCACTGCCATCGTTTTCTCCGACTCCCCCTCGAGCCACTCTGACTCCATCCCTGGCCGCCTCATGGCGCGGATCCCTATGCTCACGGGCACATTGCCAGATGCAGCAAGAGATGGGGGTCTCGCCTGCCACGCCCGAAGCGCCGCGAGAACGCGCACCGCCTCACGGCCCAGTGCGAGACCATCGACGAGCTCGATTTGTTTACCACCACGTTCACAGCACCAGCATGGAGATCGACGGCATGCCGTGTCTGGTCAAGATCGAGAAATTGTATCACGATGCCCCCTTGGCACCCCCAGTCCCCCCATACACATCTGCCCCGTCCCCATTGCCACCCCTCGGAGTGGCCTGGGAGGTTGCGCTCGGGACCTGACGCAGGCGCCGCTGCGCATCTGCATTCGTGCGACTGTCCCATCGCGCCTGCATGACCCCCTCCACCCCCCCCACCGCGCCCCCGCTATCCCACATCCTCCCCACTATAGCCCTCCTCCCCTGAAGCCGTCGCTTGGCCCGCCCTCACCCCTTGACCTTCCGAGTGGCATCCCCGCTCGGCCCGTCACGGCCTCCAGTGACATCAGACCCCACATGCCGACCCTTCCACCAGTGGCGACCTGCTTACACATCCCCAGACAGACAGGATAGAACGATCTGGCGCCGACCTCACAGTGCCGCTGTGAACCCCCGACGATTCCCCACACTTCTGTGGAGCGACCTCGACTCCAACGCGCGCCGCAAGACCCCCTGATAAAGGCGCCTGCGCCGATTGGCCCCGCCTCCGAGAACCCGAGACACGATGCAGTGACACCGATCACTGACCACCCGACCGAAAGCCCCAACGCAGCCCAAGACAACACGACCGCCGATGCCGATGCCCATGGACGGCCCGGCTGCTGCAACGGCGCCTCAACATGGACGCGTCGGTCTTCGGCGACACCCACACCCGTATGCTCACCAACATTCACCTCAACGAAGACGACGACGACGAGACGCTGTGCAAAGCAGGGCTGCTGATCTACGCGGTGTACAACGCCGTCAACAGCATCCGGCACAGAGAGCTGGCACCCGAGGCCTCCCTCGACTGCGCGCGCCAGTCCTCACGGGAGGCGGCCGAAGGGCACAAGTGTGCTCGACGGCGGTGCTCCAACAGCGCCTTCCGGACGACGCGGGGCGCCAGGAGAACGTGAGCGTTTTCCTCCCCCCTCCAGGACGTCTGCGGCCGCGGCGTGTGATGGCCTCTCCCTTCCTCTCCTGTCTTTCCTCCCTGCCCCCCCTCCCCCAGCGTTGTGTTGCGCCTTGCGCGCCTTGTGCCGATAAGGCTGGGGGGGTGTCTGGGTCAGGCCAGGCGGAGCATTTACACCTTGGCGCCCCTGTTGCTAGATGCCGCGTGCTTCTGCCAGCAGCTAGCGAGTGCCGCACCTAGCTGACCGCCCCCTCGGCGAATCAGAGCGCAATTCCAAATTCCCCTCCCCCTTTGCGGTTGCTCGTGCTTTTGTTGCCCTGGCCGGCCAGGCCGCCGGCACGCAGGCCCTCCGAGCGCTCGGTGAGCGCGCGCAGTCGCCCACCCCCGCCGCGTGGCGTCGCCGCTCCCTCTTCTGCCGCCCCGCGTCGTTCCTCTGCCCGCCCTCCCTCCTTCGGGTATAGCCAGGACCCCGGGTAAGGGGACCCGGTTAGTGGTAGGGCCCTGGGGCCCCTCAAGTGGCCAGATTCACTAAACCAGGTTTGCCGTAACTGGTGCGTTTCGGGCGACGGCCGTTCCGGCGAATGGAAATGAGACGGGGGGGGGCGCCCCCAGTACAAATCACTAAACCAGGTTCTACTAAACCCAGGCGCCCGACGGCGCAACGTTCGGCCCCGCCAGGGCGGCCCGGGAGGCCTCGGCCCGTGGCGGCGGCGGCCCGCGGAGGGCGCGGCCCCACCCCCCTCGCCTCCGCGCAGCGAGGAGGCGGAGGAGGAGGAGGAGGAGGAGGAGGAGGAGGAGGAGGAAGAGGAGGAGGCGGAGGAGGAAGAGGAGGAGAAGGAGGAGGAGGAAGAGGAGGAGGCGGAGGAGAAAAGGAGGAAGAGGAGGAGGAGGAGGAGGCGAGGAGAGGAGGAGAGGAGGAGGCGGAGGAGGAAGGGAGGAGGAGGGAGGAGGAGGAGGCGGAGGGAGAGGAGGAAGGAGGAGGAGAGAGGAGGAGGAGGAGGAGTGGTGAGGAGAAAGGAGGAAGGAGGAGGCGGAGAGGGAAGAGGAGGAAGAGGAGGAGGAGGAGGAGGAGGAGGAGGAGGAGGAGGACTCCTGCTCGTCCCGGGGCCCGGCGCAGGCTCCGAGCTGCCAGCGCCGACTCCGGCCTCGAAACCCGTGCGCTGCGGCGCCGGGGCCGGCTCCTGCCCCGACGGCGGGCCAGACTATACCCAGGGGCCAGGGGGGGGGGGAAAAAACACAGACACAATGAATCGTCGGCCCTCCAGAAAATATTGAAAAATATAGGAAGTGGGGGGGGGAAGACACAACAAAACCCAGAAAATATGGGACGAATCTGGGGAATCTTTTTATTTGTGTGCACTCATGGGAAATATGGGGGGAATCTTGTGATTTGTGTGTATTGATTTCTGTGTGTGTGTCCCAGGGCCCCTTTCGTATACGTGTCCACCACGACGAAGTTGAGCTTCGAACCGATTCGCAAGAGCACGGAACAGAGGCCGACCATGGTTTCCACAATGTATCTGACCAGTCCTACGGCTCCGTGCGCCACCCGACCAAAGATCCGAACACGGACGCCAACGCCAGCGCCAGCATCAACACTTGCGCGTATCGCCGGCGCCAGCAACGCCAGTGCCTACAACGGCGCCGACACGGGTACCGACACCGACGCCTATACACCAGCGCCGACACCGGCACCCAAGCCAGTGCCCCAAATTCGGCGCGCTGGCCCCCCCGCTATCATATATCGCCCAGGTTAGTTACCCCCCGATTTCGGCGTGCCGGCCCATCCGCTATCCGAGGCGCAACCTTACGCGTCAGCTTTGGCGCGCCAGCTTGAGAGCGCCTGCGCCTGCGCCAGCACCAGCGCCAGCACCGACGGCAGCACGGCATTGTGGGCAGCACGACGGGAGCCACGAGCAGTGCGCCGGAGACCAGGAGCCTTACGGCGCGTACAGCGTGCAGCACGGCTGCTACCACGAGCAACACGGTGCATACCACGGGCAGCACGACGGATCCAATCATTTGCGCGACGAGTGCCACGAATCGCCACCCTGTGCATGCTCCATGCTGTCTGCACTTACGGACTCATACGCCCGCCCCACGCTGCCTACTCCATTGTCACAGGCCGTACTGTCTGTCTTTGCGGAGTCGTGCAACAGATCAGGCTCTGACCCCAGGCCCTACTCCAGTCCCGAATCCTGCCCCAGGTCCGGTGCTGATGTGGCGACGTGCACCCGGCCGGCGGCGAGGACGTCTACTCGGCCGTGTTCGCACGGCCGACCAGCAAGTCCCATGTTCAGAGCCCCGAATCATCAGGGGTAACTCGGGTCAGGGATAACTCGGGTTCGTTTCTTGGGAATCCAAACCCGAGTTACCCCGGACCCGAGTTATCCCGGATAACTCGGGCGTCCAGAGCCCCGAATCATCAGGGGTAACTCGGGTCAGGGCTAACTCGGGTTCCTTTCTCGGGAATCCAAACCCGAGTTACCCCGGACCCGAGTTACCCCGGATAACTCGGGCGCCCAACATGTGCTGCCAGCCCAACACCCGCACCACCACCAGCACCACCACCACAACCACGACCATGAACGCCACGACTCCGACCCTGCAACGACGTGGCCCTCAGTCGGCTGTCGCCACAGGCCCCTCCACGCCTACCGTTCCGGCGACCGACGAATGCTAAGATATCACCTCCGACTCCACTTCGGCCCATGCTCCGACCCCGCCTCCGACGCTAGCGACAACTCCGTCTCCGACACCTGGTCCGACTCCGACCCCAGCGCCAGAATTCAGTGCAAGACCTCGGTGCGGAACGTTGCGCAGCGAGGTTCCTGGCGCCCTTCGGCTTCCACCCACCCTGGGGGCGGCTACCAGCACTTGCGCTCCTCTACTTGTACCACTACCTGTCCTATTACTTGTGAGCCATCTCGTCGCTTTTGCCCTCCTCTGCCTCTTCTTCTCTTCGTCGTCCTCCTTTCCTGCTTCGTCACCTGGGCTCCGCTAGTTCCGGATCGTCTTCAAGGCTCCGCTAGCTTTGGTGGCTTGGGTCACCTTTGGATGCCCGCGGGCCATGGGGCCCACGCGTCTCAATGCTTCTTCAGTGTCTCACTCGGCCAGAAGCATCTTTGCCTCCCGTCCCCATGCTGCTGCTACTGCTGCTGCTGCTGCTGCTGCTTTGGACACGTCTGCGCGGACAAGCTTCGATGTGACCACCTGTACAAGAAAGGTGCACCAGCGATCCACTATCGGGACGCTGGTGCGGTAGCGGAGGAGACGAGCACCGCAGTGGCTCGCCCCAAGAGGACTGCAATCCGCTGCCGCCAATCGCGGAGCGGCGACCGTGCACAACCCGTGCCACGGAGATGGCTCTGGTGCCGGGTGAGGCTTGCCAGCTGTTGCAGCAAACACGTCAGCTGCGGCCCGTGGCGGCCGCCGAATTCAAGTGCAAGGCCTTGCACGCTGGTGCCGCCTCGAGCTCCATATTTCGTTACTTTCGCAGCCTCGGCAGCGGTCGCGCCAGCACCGGCGGTCGCCGAATGGCCGCGGCGGTTGTGTGTGCTGACGACTGTGAAGTCCCCGTGGAAAATTGGGAGCGAGCAGTGGCCCCAGAGCTGCACGTCCACGCGCGGCTCACGCATGGTTGCCGTGGCCAGCTCTGGAAGCACGACCTCGCGTGTGGCTGCAAGGCCGGCTGTGCGAGCGCACGCCGCGAGCTCGTCGCAGACTCCATCATGCAGACGATTGTGGGCTCCACCGATCATGCAAGATATCGCGTGATCTCCAAGCTCGTCGAGTGCGTGGCCACAGACCCTTCCAGCGCGCGTGCGGTGCTGACACAAACACGCAACGCCGAAGAGCGGGAGCCGGAGACGCCGGCGGAAATTGATGCGGAACTCATCGTCCGACCAAGGGGCCAAGTCCCCAGTGGCGTTGGCTGTGAAACCAAGCCCGCCTTCCGGGCCGCCTCCGGACAGCCAGTGCTTCCGCTGCTCAGGCGTCCCTGCAGAGAGTACGGCATCGGCCGCTCGGAGCATCCACAATTTACGACGGTGCCGCAGCGCTGCGCCTGCAGCTACCGCGTGCTCGAGCGAAAATGTGTGGGCACCTGTTTGCGCATCAGGCTCCGGCTGCGGCATCCCCCACGCGTCGAGGAACACGACGCTCGCCGCCAACCGGCCAAGGCAATCTCTGGCAGCAGCGAGCATGCCGGAGCGCTCGTACCCTACGTCGATTACAGCTGGCTGCAGGTGGAGGACAAGCTGCCGAGAGGCTTTCGGCAGCACGCGGAGGAGCGTGGCGAGATACGAAAAATGAGCCTCAAGAGCAATGGGTCGAAGCGCCATGCCTCCATGGCTGAGCGGTGCATTCAGGGTGCTGAGACAGGCCTGCCACGTCGGGTCCGTGCAAGCAGGCCCCAAGAAAGCTGTCCGGACAAGATCGCTGACCGCGTTGTCCAAGCGACGTGCGTACGGCAGGAAGGCTGCCGGCTTCACAACACAGGCGTCGTAGGACAGAGCGCGGTTCAAGACCAAGCAAACAAGCTTCCATAGAGGGCCCAACTTGCGGCAAGCGAGCTCGGCATGCGCAACTCGCTTTAAAATCGAAGCGAATGCGATCGCTTTCTCGCACCGCTTTTGCACTGGGCCGAGGGTGGCCCCGTCGAAACTAAAATGCGTGCTGCACTCGCCTTCGGCGTGAGCGCCAAGGAGAGTAAGACCAGACGCGTCGAATTCAGCATGCGGGCGCAGCTCGGCAGCGAGATCGCCAGCGAGGGCCGGGTCTGAACGGGCAGCTGGCACGTGGGCTTTGGTCTTGTCGACGCGCAGTTTCAGCCCCCGTGCCGCAAAGCACTGCGTCGCGATCCGCATCGCTTGCAGCCAGTGCTCACGCGGAGCGGCGACGCAGACGTCGTCGACGAAAAGGCGGAGACGCGGGCGAGAGGACTTATCTGCGAACGCCTTGGAGTAGGCCTCAGAGATGTCGCGAATGCTGGCCGAGAGTGCGAGGCCGAAGTCCGAGGTTGCACTGCAGCCGCCCTGGCAGCAACCCTCCTGCATCTCCAGCGTCTTGAACTGCTCCCCCACCTGGACGTAGCACAGCTGCCGGACTCCCCCGAACCACATGTTGTGCTGCAGTGTCGCCATGCGCGGAGAGCAGGCGCGGGCCTGCTCGTAGGCGTCCTGGCGGCGGGCAGTGCCGAAGGCGTTCTCGAGGTCGAGCCCGAGGTAGACCCAGTGCGGGTGGGCCGCCATGTCCGCCTGGACCTCGGTGATGAGGGCGGCAGTGCCACTCTCTGCGCCGAGCGCATGCTGGTTGCTGCCGACGTGCGCGGAAACCCTGTGGAGCTCCGCGCGGCTGATGGTGCCCGCGGCGAGCTTGAACAGGACCTCCTGGAACACGATGGGGCGCGCCTTGCCCCCGCCCTTGTCCGAGGCAATGAGCTGCATGTGGAGCCACGGCTGCCGGATGAAGGCCGGCAACTGCCGGCAGGCCCACATCGATGCCCACCTTGAGAGTGTTGGGCCCGGCATGCGCCAGTGCACGAGCGCTCCAGATGCACGCGCGGACCTGCTTGCGCTCGACGGGGCTGCACTTGGACACTGGCGGGGCTGGCGGTCGCGAGGCACGAGCCTCGGCGGAAGCAGGCGGCAACAGCGCGGTCAGCTTCTCGTACGTCTCCTCCGTCGGCGGGAGGAGCTTCGCCCCTGTCAGCCTTTTCGGAAGTCGCCGATGTCGGCGGCCTCCAAAGCACGAGTCCACGTAGACGTAGAGTCCTGCTGGGTGGCCGGCTCCCCGCCTGCATCGGCGGTAACCGGAGCAGGCGGTGCGTCCCGCAGGTGGCTGGCATGTCCAGCGCCACGCTCGGCATGACCCGCAGCCCACTTGCGTTCGTCCTGAGCGGCAGCAGTGACGAGGTCAAGCCACTCAGCAGCATTGGCGATCTGCATCCTCGCGCGGAGGAGGCGGGCGAAGCTCTGCTGGGGCTGGTCTTTCTCCCCGCCGGCCTCGTCAGGGTCCGGCTGGACTGCGGCATGCTCGTCTGACTCGGCAACGCGCTCGCGAAGCAGGAGGTGCGGCACCGCGAGCGCCAGTAGGTTGAGCTCCTCCTGCGCCAACGGCGGGAGGTCAGAGTCCAAAGCATCCATGACCCTGTCGAGGGCCTGCAAGCGGACAGCGGCGTACTGGCGAGCGAACCGCGTGGGCACCCATCTCGCCAGCGGTACGCGGCGAACGACCGAAAGTTGTCGAAGCGCCAGCAGTAGCTGACTCGGCCCACTTACTTCACCAGCAGCCGCCCGAGGCGGGCTGTCGGAGACAGCGGCAGGAGGTGCCTGCAGGGGCGGCACCTCCAAGAGCGAGTCCACCGCTGCTGCTGGTGCCGCGCTCTGCTGCTGCTGCTGCTGCTGCTGCTGCTGCTGCTGCTGCTGCTGCTGCTGCTGCTGCTGCCCGGACGGTCGCTGCTCCTGCTGGGAGGCGCAATGCCTGCAGACGACCGTGGGGCAGGAGGAGCACCGGTATATCCACTTTCGGTACTCGATGCCGCCCTCGCACTCCACGCATTTCAAGAGAGACTCGTCTCTCTTAGCCTGGCCGCCGGTCCGGGGCAGCTGGCACTGAGTGCAAAACGTCGCATGCCGTCGCCGCCTGCTGGACGAGGCCGCCGCGTCGACGGCCAGTGCTGGGGCCACCAGCGCCTGGCCAAGTGACGGACCCTGATCGGCCACCTCGGTCTCAACCAGCGGCGTCGGCCAGTCGTCGGAGGTCTGCTCGGGCCCTGGGTGCCGAGCCTCGCCGACGCGGACGCCGCACCAAGGGCTCCGCAGTCGGCAATCGCGCGGCGGCAACGCCATCCGCAGCAGCTGCAGCACACCGGTTAGAAGCCTGCAGCCGCATGAACTGCAGCCTCTGCTGCCGGTGCGCCCCGGCCAGCTGCTGGCACCAGCGGCAGCGTACGCTGACCTGGCTGGAGGGGCCCAATTGTCGAGAACAGAGGTGGTTCGCGCTCCCGGGAGCGGGATCTCCCATCGGCCTCCTCTCCCCCCTCGTCCTCCTCGGCGGAACGGGCTGGGGATGTTCCGCGCCGGCCCGAGCCCCCTCCACGGCGCGCTGCGGGCCGCGCGGCGGCGGTCGCCGCGGCCGCGGCCGCGGCCTCGGGCATCGCGGGATCGCCGGCGGCGTCCAGGCCCGCCGCCGCGCCAGCGGCACCTGCGGGGCCTGCGGGCGCAGGGGACAGCGGCGGCGACAGCCGCAAGCGCACCATCGAGCCCCGCGACCCCAGCGTCGGCGGCCAGGCACGCCGCCGCGCCTGCAGCAGCCACCTCCGCCTGCACCGCAGCGACCGCCTGCTCCGCAGCCTGCGCCTCGGAGATTGCTTGGGCAGCGCGGGCGTCGGCTGCCTCGCCAGCCCGCTGAGCCTCCTCGGCCGCGGTCCGAGCAGCCGCCGCGGCCTCCTGGGCACGCCGCGCCGCTTCGGCGCGGTTCCGCCGCGAGTCCAACGCGGACTGCAGCCGGCGCTCGAGAGGCCGGGCAGCACGCTCCGCCTCTTGCAGCTCGGCCGCCGCAGACTCGAGCCTCGCCACCTCCGCCGCCCACTCGGAGAAGGGGCGGAGGGCGGCGATGCGGGCCTTGATGCCAGCCAGGCCCTCCAGGGCAGGAGTAGCTGCCTGGGGAGGGGCACCGGCCGCGGCTGCCTGCGGGGCCGGAGGCTGCGGCGGCGCAGCCTCGGTGGTCGGTGGTGGACGCGAGCTCGCCCCCGCCGCGAGCCCTGCCCATGGCGCCGGCGTCGGCGGGCCTGCTGGCGCTGTGCTCGTGCGCACTCGCACTGAAGGCTCTGCCCGCGGCGCCTGCCGGCCACATCCTCGACAAGAGGTGCGCCAGCCGAAATTGTCGGCAGTCCCGCAGGCGCAGCTCCAGGGCGCCTTGCGGGCCCCCTTGGGCTCGCCACCGCGCTGCCCAGGCGGCTGCCGCGTCTGCGAACGCGGAGGCCGCGCCACTCCAGCAGGGCGACTGGCCTGCCTGCACGCCTCCGCCAGCTGCTTCAGCTGTCGCTGGATAGCGCCCAGTGGCGGTTGGGCGTTATCCCCGCGCCCGCCGCCACGGCCGCCCGGCATCCGGCACCGGCCACGCGCGCGGATTGCCCTATGCGCTGGGCCGGGGATCACAAATGCCAGAACAAGTTTGACCCGGCTTGAGCCAAAATGGCTTGAGCCAAAATGGCTATGTCTGCTGCTGCTGCTGCTGCTGCTGCTGCTACTGCTGCTGCTGCTGCTGCTGCTGCTGCTTGTCGCTTGTCGGGGTCTCCCTCCCGCCTGCTCCGCTTCCTCCTCTCGCTCGCTTGCCTGCCCTATCTCCCTGCTGCTCTGTGCTCCTCCCCTCTCCCCCCTGCCGCCTGCTTCCCTCTCTCTGCGTTTGCTGCCGCTGTCCACGCGTTCGCGCCTTCGTTGTTCACTCTCGCACCGAACCGCTTTGTTTGTCACTGTGCCAGGCCTGATTATATAGATGCTCAGTTGGACCGCCGGGGTCGCGCGCGCACTTGTACAGACGCCCGTCCTGCACCTTGGTGTCTTGTTGTTTGCTTTCGTCCTGCTCAGGAAAATCGGGGGTGGACAGACCTCCTAACAGTGACACGTCGATTAGTGAATTGTCTGTTTTCGGTTCTCGAGAGGGCGCCGCGGCTGTTATTTTCCAGGCTTGCGCCCGCCAGGTTAGGGCCCGAGGTCGTTTTCAATAAACCACGTTTTACTAAAGGGAGGTCTGTCCATCCCCGAGAACAGCTGCGTCGTCCAAGCTATGTGGTGCAACATTGAGTAAACCATATCTGAGGCGTTCCGAACAGGGCTTTGCCTTCGGGGACCGAAGGAGCTATCATCTCTTCTGCGGCGGAAGGTCGGCGGAAGCAAAAGGAGGCCGCCTCCGCTGGCGGAAGCCGGCGGAAGCTCGGCGGAAGGCGGCGGAAGTACAAACTGCGCCTCCAAGAGATGACAACGCTGTGGGGTGCAGGGTTTCCGAGATCGCCCACGTGGCAAGCGATGATGTGCAGCCTAGGCTTTGCAGGCTATGTGGTTCCAGCTGTGTGGCGCGGCCTCTGCGGCGCCGTCCCCGCGGGGGAGGGGCGTGCGCCTTCCGAGATCCCCTCCTGGAGTCTCGGATGGTGTTTGCTCCTGTCAAGTGCCCTTGGTTGGGGCGTGCTGTGCACGGCGCGCGCGTGGCGCCGTATTGGGCGCCGTGCACGGCTCGCGCATGGCGCCGATCTTACCCTGGGCTTGCGGGCCCCACTTCGCAGGAGGAGGAAAAAAAATCCGCCAAAGCCGTCCGAGGACCTCCGATGGGGCATCGGTGGGCCCCCGATGGGTTTCCGCCGGGGGCCTCCGCGAGACGCCGCCGAGGGCGTGCCGACGGGCTCCTCGCGGCGAGGCCCTCGGGGGCCTCGGGGTCCGGCCGTTTCGAGGCCCTCGGCGAGCTCGCTGCCGGAGAGGCTGCGAAAGGCCCCCCCCGAAGACCGCCGGCCGCTGCCGGAGGGGGCGGCCCCTCACGAGGCTCGCTCGCGGGGCCTCCCGCGCGCAAGGCCAGAGGGGGCGGCCCCTCACGAGGCTCGCTCGCGGGGCCTCCCGCGCGCAAGGCCGCCGGCCGGGTCCCATCGCGTTTCGCGGCGCGGTGGTGAGGAGAGCTGCCCCTCCCAGGCGGGAGCGGCGCGGGGGAGCCGCGCATCTCGCCCTGGAGCTGAAGGGGTCCTGAGGGAAGCGGGCCCCGAGGAGTTTTGCCGCTCTCGGGTTCCTGTTGCTACGGGCCCGGGACTGTGAAGCAACGACTCGGCATGCAGCGCGGGTGCCGGCCAGGGGAAGGCTTCGGGGTCCAGGACTCGCTTCCCTCAAAGTCCGTCTCGGGAGCCCCCAAACGGTATGGTGACCACACCTCCCTCCCCCTCACCCCTCCCTCCTCTCTCCCCCCTCCGCCCTCCCACCCCACCCCACCCCCCCTCCCCTCGCTTAAGCAGGAACGACTACAACATTCCTCCGCCCTCCTCCCTCCCCCTCCTCCCCCCCTCTCCCTCCCCGAGAGAGGCTGGCGTGCTTGTGCCTCCTGTCGGACCCTGAGTGCCCCGTCGCGCAGCTGCTTCGGCCGCTGCTGCCCAGCCTCTTCGCCTCGGACTCCGAGGTCGACCAGGAGGACGATGACCAGGCGCGTGCCTCGCATCCTCCTCTTCCTCCTATGTTTTATGATCATCCTCCCTCTCCTCCTCCTCCTCCTCCTCCTCCTCCTCCTCCTCCTCCTCCTCCTCCTCCTCCTCCTCCTTATCCTCCTCCGCCTCCTCCTCCTCCTGCTCCTCCTCCTCCTCTTCCATTACTTCTCCTTATAGATAACTTCTCCCTGTCGCACTTCGAGGCCAGTTTTTAGGGCGGGCTGGGCGTTTCGCCTAAGACTTCCTCACCATATATAACTCTAAAGCTTCAAATGGAGGGCGGGTCGCCATCAAAATGTGGCTCTCGCTTTAGCGCCGCGCACATTCATTAAAACATGTTAAAAGTGTCACGGATTGGGGACGTGTGGCTTTCAAAATGTGGCTCTCGCCCTATCGCCGCGCACATTCGTTTTAAGAATGTGCAACAGCTTCACGGATTGAGGGCAGATAGTTTTCGAACTGTGGGTCTCGCCTTAGCGCCGCGCACATTCTTTTAAGACTTCACCAGAGCTTCACGGATTGAGGGCGGTTCTTTTTCAACATGTGGTTCTCGCCTTAGCGCCGCACGCATTCGTTTTCAACATCAGTTTCACGGATTGAGGGCGGGTTGTTTTCGAAATGTGGTTCTCGCCTTAGCGCCGCACACATTCGTTTTAACAATTTGCAACAGCTTCACGGATTGAGGGCTGTTGTTTTATAACATGTGGTTCTCGCCTGAGCGCCGCGCACATTGATCTCAAACATTTGCAAGAGTTGTCACGCGTTCCCATAGTCGACGTACCAGAAATGGCGATTTGGAAGGATTCAGGATTATGCGGGCGCAACAGTTATGTTGATTCGCGATGCTGAAGTGTCAAAATTGCGTTATGGCACGATTCGGGATCGTCAAGACGCAACAGTCAGGTTGATACGTGGCGTTGAAATTTCCGAGAACAATGTTTTGGCACGCTTCAGGTTTCAAACGGTTGTCTTCCAACGAGGCAGTTCCCTTGGCAATGAACCGTTGTAGGGGACTACGAGGAGGGAGCTTGGAGGGAGGGTTCATTCCAACATCGTTGATGACCCTTGGGTTTACACTGGTCCTTCTTCTCCTCCTCCCCGTCCCCCCTCTTCCTCTACCCTCCGTAACCATTTTGGCTCAAGGCCAAGATGGTTTTCCATTCACTGCCTTCACGGGGTAGGCGCCCACCGTTCTAGCACCCGCTTTCCACATAATGATTCAAGTTTGACTCGGGTTCGACTCGAGTCGACGACGGACGTTCGACGCAGCTTCGACGCACGAGTGGAGCGAGTGGCTCTAGGAAGGTCCCCAGCACGAGCAGCCAAGGGGTCGGAGGATCGCGCAGCATCGCCAGTGTATCGGCTCGACGTGGAGCCCGATTTTCGCCGCGCCGATGTCGCCGCTGCATCGCGGGCGTCGCCGATGCATCTCCGATGCAGCGCCGATGCAGCGGCGATGCGGCGCGATCCTCCGACCCCATCTGCTCGGATTCCATCTCTAAGAGGCCTCTATGACAGAACCAGGGGGGCCTCCTCCTCCTCCTCCTCCTCCTCCTCCTCGTTCCTCCTTCTCCTCCTCCTCCTCCTCCTCCTCCTCCTCCTCCTCCTCCTCCTCCTCCTCATCCTGCTGCCCCTGCCCCTGCTCCTCCTCCTCCTCCTCTCCTCCTCCTCCTCCTCCTCCTCCTCCTCTCTGCTGTTCCTCCTCGAAGCTGGAAGCTCGCCCCCCCCCCCCCCCCAGGGGCCGTTCACCACCGCGCTCGCGGCCTCCGCCGAGCTCGAGGGCGTGCTCGACCTACTCGGCGGCCCGGCGGGGCACGACGGCGCGTGGGACGCGCTCACCCGCCGGGCCGTGGCGGGGGCGGGGGCGCGGGCGGCAGCGGACCTGTACCCGGAGACGGACCCGGGGCAGCAGGATCGGCGTCGGACGAGGGAGCGGAGGGATGGGAGGAGCTCGGGTTCGCTTGGCATCGCTCGGACGTGTGCATGCTTCCTTCGGCGAGGACCATCGAGGAGCACCCTTGATCATTTGGAGAAAAAGCCACGCGCGAAGCCGAAAAAAGCACAGGGAATGGACGTCCGAGCGATGGCCAGTTCGAGGCTGAAGATGTGCGGGCGCTGCCGTCGGTTCTCGGCGGCCTTCCAGCCTCGGGATGCGTTCCAGCAGCCGAGCCTCCTGGGGCCGGGGTCCGGCGGGCGCCCGAGTCGTCCCGAGCAGCCGCGGGAGACCCGAGGCACGGCCCGGGCGGCACGGATCAGATGGGTCGGAAGACGAGGGGAATCGGGGGCGGCAAAGAGGGGGGTGATGACTAGGGGGGGGGGATCTCATGGCGGGGGGCATGCTATTTCCCCAGATCTCACGGCGCCCCTTCTTATTTCATTACGTCCTTGGCCTCCCCGCTGGGCCGCGCACATGCCGCCGGTCATGATTTGCACCCCCCCCTCTTGGACACCCCTCTCTTGGCCGCTCCCGAGGGAAAGTGGGCCGGGCCAGGGCTCGACCTGTAAACGGTGTTTACGCGAGCTCGTGGGCCATCTTGGTTTCGGTCTCGTGCTGCAGCAAAAAAGGCGGAGCGAAGACAGCACGAGGGGAAAACGAAAACTGAACGAGGGAGAACATCGTTTGTCGGCGGCGAGCGAGGGGGGGAAGTGAGAAGGAGGAGGTCCTCTCATAAGGTTCGGAAGACCCTTGGTTTTCTGAGAAGAACTTCTCCGAAGGCGCGAGGGCTTCTGAGCAGCACCGCCGCCTTCTGGGAAGGCCTCCTCCTCCTCCCAAGTGCTCTTCAGACCAGAGCTGCTCCAGGGCGGCCTGCAATCTTGCGCGCTTGCTCGCTCACGCGTGTGGGTCGCTTGGGAGTGCAGAGAACAGCAGGAGCATCAGGAAGGACTCATCAGAAGGACTCCCTCTCCCATCCCCCCCCCTCGCTCGCCGCCGAGCCGAGGGCGAGCCCGGGGAGGCGGGGGCACGGAGTCTGCTGCGTGCGGCTGCCGCCGCCGCTCGGCGCCTGCCTCGGCGCGCACGGGGGGGGGGGCCTCCTCCGGCGCCGGGAGGGAAGCAGCTCCTCCTCCTCCTCCTCCTCCTCCTCCTCCTCCTCCTCCTCCTCCTCCTCCTCCTCACGCCAACGAACACCCTGCTTGCCTCCAGGGTGCCCTGGGTTTCCTGGGTCTCGATGGTTCTGCGATGGAAAACGAGCGCGGCGCACCAAACATCCAACGGACGCCCTGGGGTCTCGGGGCTGGGTCTCTTCTGGGAGGTCTCTTGTGGCCGGGCCCCTGCTGCATGCGGCTGACTGGCTGAGGTGCCAAAGTGTGCAGGCTGCAATCACGGCGCTGCGCACCAGGGGGAGCCCCGATCGGGCTGAGCGAAGGCAGGGACAAATCGCTCCAGAGCGTTCCAGGACGCTCCCACTGCGTTCCAGAGCGCTCTGACATGGCCGCGGCGCCCGATACATCTCCCAGAACCGCCAGATCTCGAAGATCCCCGACTCATCCTCATCCGAATTGAACCTTATCCTGGCCTCGTCTCACCCGAATGCCTTCACTGCTGTGAACAATGGTTGGCGAAAGAAGCCAAACTATTCCTCAGCGCGCGCAGAAGATTCGCCCCCCCCCCCCGCGCAGCTCCATATTTCCAACTGCGCAAGACACGGCGGGTCCCTATTAGAGTTCCAGGTGCGCTACGACGTGCGTCGTAGGGTTCGGGGGGGGTCTGGGCAAAGGGCCGCCCTTTCATGGATGGCCTGGGGGGGGTCTGAAACTCCTCGTCCGGGAGGGTTGTGACCCCCTCCCTTTTGTTACGAGATCTGGAGTAGCCTGCCCCCCCCCCCCTTCCGCAGTCTCCCCCCGTGCCGCCCTCTCCGACAGGAGGCCGCCGCGGCCGCCGTGGAGGGCCTCATGCGCGAGGTGCCGCGCCGCCCCGCCCTCCCCGCGGCCTGGCATGCGCCCGTGCTGCCACGCAGCGCTCGCGCAGCGCTCCGCACGTCGTGGGCGGAGCACACGCCGCGCGCGGGCTCCCCGGGCATGCCCGGGAGATGTCCGTCGAAGGGATGGCCGCGCGCCGGAAGCCCCTCCTCCTCCTCCTCCTCCTCCTCCTCCTCCTCCTCCTCCTCCTCCTCCTCCTCCTCCTCCCTCTCCTCCTCCTCCGGACCCTGGCCTTCCAGGAGGGCCAACTTGGCATCGCTCGGACGTGTGCATGTTTCCTTTCGGCGAGGACCATCGAGGGGCATCCTTGATCATCTGCCGAAGAAACCACGCACACGAAACCGACAAAAAGGCACAGGGAACGGACGTCCGAGCGATGGCCAGGGGCGGAGCACACCGCGCGCGGGCTCCCCGGGCATGCCTGGGAGATGTCTGTCAAAGGGATGGCCGCGCGCGGGAAGCCTAGACTGCTGGCGCTCCACGCGGAGCGCTACTCCAGATTTCGTGATAAAGGGAGGGGGGGGTCTCATTTCGGGGGGGGGGCCTCTTCCAGGCTAGCTTGGAGGGCCTGGGGGGTCTGGGGACGATGTTTGGGAGGGTTCTCCCACGGGGGAGGTCTGAAATGGCTTGTCTTGGAGGGTCCATACCTCCTCCTTTTTATGACGAAATCTGGAGTAAATGTTTATGTTTATGGCGTTCGTTTTTCTTCCAGTTTGGCCGCCGTCGGCCTCCGAGGGGGCCCGATCGCCGTGCCCTGGGGAGAGGGCCGCGACTTTTGCGGAGACCCCGTATACCAAACCCTAAAAAAAACAGTATCCTGGCGAAGGACCCAACCATCAGCAATTGTTCGTAACGCGTTGTGGGCTTCGGTGGAGTTTCCTATGGGGCCACGAAGCGCTGCCCAGGGTGGGGGAAACGCATGCGAGACGCTGCCCAGGGTGGGGGAAACGCATGCGAAAGCAACCACTGGGGCCTTCGGTGGAGCTCCCTATGGGGCTACGAAACGTGTGAGAGGTGTGCCGAGAGCAAAGTCAAGGAGAGGGAGGAGGGGGAGGAGGAAGGAAGGAGGGAGACGCGGGGCGCTGTCTCTTCAAAACGAGGACCCAACACCACAGGATGGTTGGGAAAAACATCGCCTGTCGAGGCCGGCGCCACCGAACCCCGGTGCCCAACAAGGGGTACCCTGGCACTGCGCAGGAACCGGCGCGGGTACGAGAGTGCTGCGCTAAGACCTGGCCTCGACCCGCCGACGGGGCCCGCGTGGCCCGCTGCAGTCGCTGCCCCAAAAATATGTTCTGGCACTGCGCAGGAAGGTCTAGGAACGCTGCAGGAGAGTGCCACTCTCGCGCGGCATAGGCGCAAGAGAGTGGCCGGCGAGCGCCAGTCTCCTACGTCGATCTCGAGGTTCCCTTGTCCTGAGTCACCCAGCAGGCCGGCGCCGAGGTGCAGCACGTGCTAGCCGACGGTCTTGGCGAGTGTACTTCGAAGAAGGAAAAACATAAGCATAAACGTTTGGCGCTCCGCGCGGCTTTCTTGGATCCGCGCTGGACCCGCCCCCTGGCGCGCCAGGGGCGTCGCCGGAGGTGCCGCGGGGGGGGGGGGCAGCGCGGATATCCAAGAGATCTGTGCGGAGCGCCAAAAGTTTATGCTCATGCCGTGTTTCCTTCCCCTAGTACTATGATGTCCCAACCTACTTGAGCCTTGATCAGAACGAATTTCGAGCGCCCAAACAATTACCGAAACTCGAACGTTTTCACGTGGCGGGCCCTGGGAGACACTCGTCCGACACTGTTCTTCGACGCTCTTTCGACACTTTTCCGGATGCTCGAACTGATTTCTGGGATGTGGTCCTTGCGCACGCTGGGAGCAACATCCTCCAGATTTCGTAATAAAAGGGAGGGGGTCTCATTTCGGGGGGGGTCTCTTCCAGGCTATCTTGGAGGGCCTGGGGGGGTCTGGGGACGATGTTTTGGAGGGTTCTCCCACGGGGGGGGGTCTGAAATGGCTCGTCTTGGAGGGTCCAGACCCCCTCCCTTTTATTACGAGATCTGGAGTACCGCCCACGACGGGAGTCCTCAGTCTGCGTGCCGAGCTCCGTGGCGGCACGCCCCGGGCTGGGTGCCGCGCGCCCGGGCAGGCCGGGCCTCGTCGTGGTCTCTCCCGGCCCCTCGGCTGCTTCCGGGCCTCGGTCCCTGCGCCTGGCCTCCCGGCCTGCCGCCCCTGCGCTCCCTCCCTCCTCCTGCTGCTTACCAGCCTCGAACGTATCCCTATCCCTAAGATTGACACGCCAGAACGCGAAGACAATCGCAGGGACCCGCCCTTAAAAAACAAGGGAATCCCTAAGATTGGCATCGTGAGGAGGAGGTGCCCAGCAGAGGGATAGGGATATGTTCCAGGCTGGTAAACTGCCCCTCCTTCGGGGCAGAGCACCGCTTCGCTCGGAGGCGGATCGACCTCCTACCCTGACACGTCGAGTCAGGAACTGGCCGTTTTCGGTTCGCGAGAGGGCGTCGCGGCCGTCATTTCTGCGGGTCCAGGTCCGCGGGTGTCGGTCAAAGGGAGGTTTGTCCACCGCCGATTCTCCCTCCCCTGCCCCCTCCCCCCGACTCCGTCCCTCCTTCTCCTCCTCTCCTGGTCCTCCTCTCGTCTCCTGCTTCCCTCCCCGCGCCCCCGCTTTCCCTCGTCGCCCTCCTCTTCCACCTCCCTCCCTCCTCCAGGCTCGCAACTATCGCCTCTTCGCTGCGCCCTCTACCTAGGGGTCAGGCTGAGTGGTGAGCTTCGCAGGTCCAATCGGGACCTGGCTCGCTCTTGGTGCCGCCAACCGCGCCACTGCCGCCATCTTCTTTCTCCCCAAGGGGTGGCAAGCCGAAGTGTTGAGCTGCACGGATCTGGACGGGATCTTCGCTCGATGTTTCCAAGCATGTCTCTGTCTTCGTTTCGCGCGTCCCCTGGGGGGTCAGCGAAGCGGTGAACTGCGCAGATCTGCAGGAAACCTCGCACTGCTTGGGCGCTGCCACTTGAGCAGCCGTCGCCATCCTTCTGCGCCTCCGGGGGTCCAATGGCTTGACGAGCAGCGCACATCCGATTAGGACGTCACCCTCCCTGGGTGTTGCCAAACATTCACTTGTCTTTGCATTGGTTCATCGCTCGGGGGTCCAACGGAGTGGTGCCATACGCAGATCCAGGCAGAGCCTCTCCCTGACCGAGTGTGGACAGCCGTGCACTTTTCATCGAGTTCGTGTATCCCCTGGGAGTGTGACGGAGGGGTGACCCACGGTAGAATCGTGTCGCGTCGACGCGCTGGCGACTCCATCGCGGGCGTTCAGGGGTGATCCCCGCTGGCGCCCTGAATCGGCCAGAATCGTGTCGCGCCGACGCGCTGGCGATTCCATCGCGGGTGTTCAAGGGTGATCCCCGCTGGCGCCCTGGATTGGCCAGCATCGAGCCGCCCACGCTGCCGGAAAGCCTGGACGATTCGAGGTTGAACGACTCACGCGGCGTCGGAAACCAACCGCCCACGAGGGGGGGGGGGGGTGCAGGAGTGGCGAGCCGCGAAGCTGCCATGCGAACGGGAGCGCGCCATCGCCGGGTGCTGCGACGCGTGCAGCTTTCGTCGCGCTCGCGCGTGCCCCATGGGCCCCTGGGGGGGGCGAGCCCGGCGGAGTGGCGACCTGTGAGCTACAGTCGGGGCCCTGAAGAAGGAACCCTTGTCGTTGGGGAGGGGCTCCGCGTTCCTTACGTGTTTCACAGCTTGCCTCAGGCTTTCCTTATGTTTTCGACAGGAAATCGAAGGTTAACTTATGGAAGAAAGGGGCCTCGTTCCTTATTTAGGGTTCCTTAGGTCAACGCCCCGACTGTACACTCCCAAGGGAGGTCGCACTCGCTTGGGGATGTTGCCAGCCCGTGGAGCAGCCGCCAGCGTCCCTGGGTCCTTGCAGGGTCCCGCGGCCGGGGGAGCAGCGCAGGCAGACCCGAAAGGGGCCTCGCCACCCCTGGGTGCTGCCTCGCGCGCCATTCTCGCCACGCGGCTGGCCGCGGATGGGGGTTCAGCGGCGTGCAGTCAGGATGGGAAAAAAACCACAGACACAATTAATCGTCGATTCCACAGAAAATATGGGAAAATATGGGAAGTGGGGGGGAAGACGAAAATCAAAAAAAAAATGGGGAAGTATGGGGAATCTTTTTATTTGTGTGCATTTATTTGTGTGTGCCAGGGCCCCTTCATGCAAATCAGCGCAGATCGGATCGGGACCTGGCCTTCCCCGGGGCGCTGCTGAGCGAGCAGTCGTCGCCGTTGTCCTGCGAAGGAGCCAGCTCCAGAGCAGCAGGCAGCCATGACGTACTTCTGCGCTGCGCTGTTCTGCTTCAAGCTCAAGACTACCAGCTGTTTCAGAGACCCGCTTTCGTCCAGCTGGCCGGCTTCAACCAAAGTCTCCACGCTGGCGACACATGGCGACGCATCCAGACGAAACCGTACGGCCCGCGGCTGCGCGACGATCGATTCCAGACGGCCACATGTCGCCTCGTGCTGGGTAACCGCGGCCCGCTGGATGAGGACCCGTGCCAAGAAGAATGTCCAGACTCGGGCATGACCTCGATCTCGCGCGGGCCGCCGGCGCGTCCTCGCCCGCGCTGGCGGTGAACATGACTGCACAGCGCTGTCAACCCTGGTCTGGCGGCATGCGCGCGATGCTGCCGCTTCATATGGGCATGCGGCTTCGTTTGCAGGACCACGCGGGCCTGTGGGCGAGGGCTTGTGAAGGACGCCCAGGGGGACAAGTCGTGCGCGCGGTCTTCAACCCTCGCGGCGCGGAGGAGGAAGGACGGGCGCGGGCGGCACTGCGCCCAGCGCGCCTGCGTTACTTGCCCCTTGGCGTGCGGTCCGCGCGGTCGATCGCGAGGTCGCCGCTGGGTGGCCTCCCATCGAGCCGCACACCTCCAGCCTTTGTATTTCCATCTCTCGCGCCAAGGTCCCCGCGTTG